TATGAAAGAAAATAGTGGGGTTTTTGACTTAGTCAAAATATAATCGATTTATAATGAACATGTGATAAAAACTATAATGTGTTGCAGATGACGCTTAACACTTAAGTAATATTTATCAATAGCTAACTGTTAGGATATTCACCAAATATCCTATGAGGATTATTTGTAAGTCTAATTATATTGGTCAATTCCTATTGGTCGTCCTAGCTATCAATGTCACATACTTAAATGTTGTTTCCTATTCGACTTAACTGTATAAATATGTATTATCTGTAACGTTTTATGACCCGGATCCTTATTTTCTTCTGGACTCAGACCACGTACTTTCTGTATGCTTGCAGAATACACGTTCTACTTCATATTAAGTCTTCTTTTACTTAATGAGGGGTTTGGAACGATCGGATTATAGTAGCATGTCGTGTCGCCGGATCGTCTATCTTCGCTGTCATTCACCAACTAAGGTAAACTCGTAATAGTTCAAGCGTATCAAATGATGTGTTTACATGCAATTGTAACACTAACATTGACGAACACCGGTCAAATTCACACACCTAACCATCATTGTTTAGCAAGGTAATTGACAAAATTAACTTTTAGGTATTTAGACAACAGTTAACACTTTATTCGAGTAGATAACTACTACTTAAATGCCCAACTTGGAATAGTTTACCTTGTTGAGATGGTGTTGCATGAGAATGGGAAACAAAACTTGTAGTGATAAACTTTATTGTCTAAATAAGAAAAGAAAACTGTTGGTTAAATTTGAAAATCTAAAAATTCTAGTAGCTGGATTATCCAGCTTTATTTCGCCTATCATTACTAAACATTTTGATTAGTCAACAGGCGTATAGACATAAGACAAAATAACTATTTATAGGGAAGCTTCAAAAAATTTTTTTTATCTTATCCGAGATATGTTTCATTTTTTTAAAAAATCCGCTACACCAACTAAACAACAGTGCCTTGCATTTTCAAGTATCCTGTTAAGCTCGTCTTGGAAATCCACTCAGTGGTTGTTATAATTATTGATTATTGAAAAAAAGAAGTGGTGAATGAACACAAGGTCATTTAGGAGAAAATCACAGTAGGAATATCATGATCAGTTGATGCTTTTATTTGGACAGTTCACGATCGAAAATGCAACTTCAGAACTCATACTATCAGAGTAAATAAAATAGTTCAGAATTATGACATATGCATTCACTGATTTTCATGTCAGTAAATTAATAACATCTAATAAAGTATATCAGTTAGGAACGTCAGTAAGAATTAAGAACTTAAAAGGATCCTAATAAAGTTAATTAATTATTTTTTCGAAATTTCTTGAGTTTTTAGAAAATAATTATGGTTCTTCGAAAAAAAATTATTTTAAAAAATATATAACACAAAAGTTATAGTTTAAATCCTGGTCACTTCTGCCCTTGTGAAATAAATAAACTGATTATAATAGAAAATAATATTTTGAAAATATTAAAAATCTCATTCCATTTGACTCGAGTACATAGAATAACAAAAGATGAAATGGAGTAAAATAAGTGAGTTTTATTTTCTTTCACAATGATTTATAAAATACAAGGTTAAACTTTTTCACATTCCAACCGTTTAAAAACGTGGCTCTACCTTTTTATTCATATAATATAAAGGGATGAACAGATGGTTCATTGAAGCCCAATGAAAATAGATTGTATTGATTATTTCATGGTTGAAGATTCATCTTACTGATTAGACCCAAAGGTTATTTTCTTCAACCACTGAAAATACAAAATTAGTAGATATGACATCAGCGTAACTGGATAAGTGTTTAGATTGCAAAGTGATCGACATTAATTGATCACCACTAAGGAGTAAATAGGCATAACAAAGATAAGACTCCATAATTATTGTCGGTAGCACAACATGTTGTAGGTGTTAGCTACTTTATTAATAATGAATCTTAAAAAACATATATTTCACCAACCTCAGTTAAGTAATATCTATATACCCGTAGCCTGACATATTTATGATATGTTACTTACTTACACCTGTTAGCAGTTGTGGAGCATAATCGGTCGACCACAATCTCCAATAAATTCTTTCCTCAGCTCTGTTTTTCAGTTGTTTCCAATTACCATTCGTTATTCTCATGTCTGTCTCCAATCGTCGGAGGCAATTCGCTTTTTCACCCACCTCTTTTACTTTGGCCTTTAAAATTCCAACCCAGGGCTTACCTTGTGAGGCAGTCAAGTGATTCTCTCACATTCAGTACTATTTCCTATTTTCTTCCTCAGCTCTAGTCTGGTTTGTTCACTCTCACAGTAACTTGATGATGATGGCGTCTGATCAAAGGATCCGCAGTATCTTGTGTAGACAAGTGTTTACATCTACCCATGTCTTTGGGATGATGGCCTCCATAGTTCGAACTTCCAGTCCATATAATGGAGCTATCTTGGCGCTCGTATTGAAAATTCCGACTTCGGTGTTGGGTGACAGTTGTTTTGAGTTCTAGATACGCTTCATATGCAGGACTGCTGTTCTTGGCTTTACATCTGCATCAGATCAAGCTTTTTAATAAGTGATACTGTCTAGGTAAGTAAAAGTTTTCACATCTTCCATGGCTTCTCCTTGTGCAGATAATTGTTCGCCTAAAGAATTTCATTACACTATTCTAAGATCACATTTTTAAAAATCATCAGATTCCAAAATACCAGTAATATTATCAAGGTTTACACTGTTGGTAAGGGAACATGTTGATTAGTTTGCATTTCTCTTGAAGAGTTATCTGTAACATTTAAGTAGAAATTAACATTTATGTATTTTTTCTCTTTTTTTCTAAATATTCCTCAACATTTACAAATTTCTCAAAAGAAAGATTATTCATTCGGCTTAAACATTTTAAATGTAAATCTCTATATTGTACTATTAACATGTTAATCTTCACCTAGATACACTATGTAACTAAAAAGACATAAAAATTAAAAATTTTTACATTTTGTCAAAATAGTTTCTGAACGTTTTTTTTTCTTTACACAAACATTAAGTAAAATTGCACAGCAATTATCAAGGAATGAAACACTTCTAAAATTTTGTAAAAACCATGAAAAGTGATTTATGCTATGATATGCAGAACAAACAAACAAAGGGATAAACAGCTTTTCCCTGCTAAAATGAATTGCTTTAGGTTATATTCAAATCGACGGGTAATGGAGGACATTTCAAAAATACAACGTTAACGTTTTTACAATGAAATATACATGTGAGAAAACATATGGAAAATCATTCTTTTTGTTTTTTGGAACATTTCTAACATGCGTGTTGATAAAACAAATTGCTTTTTATGAAAAAATTTATCTTAATTAAATGTATAGCAAAGAAATAATAACCATAAATTTTCAAGTGGCATCAAAATTTTTGTTTTAAAAAGGAATCTATTCAGATACTTGTCTAAGCATTCAAATAGATTAGAGCTGTAAGATTTTTTACCATTGGTAAATGAAGTATCATTGAACACTCAATCATTTATTCTCAAAAAATTGTTCTTTTTGATGTTACCTATTATCTAGAGTTCGGTTTATTGAACAAACTGCTGTTCTAAGTGTAAGCGTAAACTGAAGGTATTGTTGTATCTGCTTTCCGAGTTACACAAGTTATTTTTTAGTTACATTTGTTTTACAAAATGTATTTTTATAACTTTTCCATTACAAAAACTCACACAGAGATTCCATTTTATTATATTTCTTCGAATCAGATTATTGTTTTAGATGAGATAATAACTTCAGTAGTGTTTGATTTTAAAATATTTTAAAATCAGGAAACGCGCCTGATATTAGATGAAATATAAATTTACAGAGTATGATGAATTATTATTGACCATTCGAACAATCATAACTTAATGAAACCATTTTCCAAATGATAAAATACTCTCTCATGCCTTCGTTGGGTGTAGCAGCAATTCATTTCGGGTGTGAATGTTTATCGACTTGTATTTTAACTTAATAATTCGTTTTGATAAAAGGGTTTATAATTCTAAAATGTATCTCAAAAATGTTCAATACCATAAATGTTTAGTTATTTCGATGACTGACTCATTTGAATCTAAGTCAAAAAGTTAGATTTTGGTATTCTACTTTCATCTGTTTTGACATTTTATGTACTGAAAAACTGTTTACATTATGATGACAGTTTATAGCACTCACACAAAACTTCATACAGAACAGCAAACAACCAGCAGCCAGTGTATAGTTGTTCTAGTCTTATTTATATCCAGTCAACACTGTACATCTATAATCTTACAATTTAGTGTTCTTTGACACACGCAGAGTAATTTTACTACTGAGAGTGAATTTAAATAGTCCACATGATTAACTTCAGTTTACTCCAATCATAGTCTGACCATCAAATAACCATAATCATTAACAACTTTCTTTATTTTAACTCATGAACTCAAACAATTATACCTTTTCACTGGAACATCCATCTTAAAGTTAATCACTGGGGAATACACAAATAATATTTACTTTAGTGGGTTGCAAGAGTAAAACTGATTTTCAAGTTAAAACAGCTTTCACAATCGACCGAAGTATATCATAGTTTATCGTGTAGTTCTTAGTGATCTGGATATCGGTTTCGTTCCAGTTCAATTTTCAAAACCAACGGCAGAATTGGACATAATATAGATGTCATTTTCGTTTAAAAAAAACACCTAGGACAATAGAGAAATAATGAATAAAATACAGTTTCACTATTTCCATCTGCCGATGAAGTTACCAAACAAATATTTTCCATCATAATTATTTTTATATCTGTAATCTCACATTTCAAAGCATTATTTTCAGTGTATATTTGTTTAGAGAAATAAATAATCAGATGTAGATTTTGAGAACACCCAAATTGAACAATAATCTTAGTTAACGTTCTATGTAACAAATTTATTAAAACAAAACAAATAAATTTATTTTAACTAATACTGTGTGGAAATATGATAGTGATAATGGTAAAGGAACATTAAAATTTTGAATTAATTTTTATCTGATATGATAAAGAATAATTCTAGCTACATTATTAATATTACTATTATTATTATTATTATTAGTAGTAGTAGTAGTAGTTCGTTCATAGTTTTCACCACTACTACTGTCAAATACACTACAGATACCATGTGCACGTATATCTGTTTCATTTTGACATAAATAATATTTCCAAAGGTTTAAAACTTACAAACAAACATTGAGTGTAATTGTATTGACTTATTTTCCTCGAAAAGAAACATACTAGTGGGCATTCTATTGCTATTTATTTGACTGTTTGTTTGTTTGTTTGTTTGTTTTATCTCACCTTCAATGATAAATGTTGCCATATTTTTTTCTGCTTGTATTTTTCTCCATTCGTTGATACAGGCGCTAATTTATGCCTGTTTTGCAACTTGATGCAAAATAGAGAAAAATTCAACTACTCCCGTTTGTTTGTCTCTACCTTAGATTTAAGTTTGTTTTATTTATTCTTACTGGCTTTTTACACTTTTCTAAAGTGGATATATACACGAAGCAATGTAAAATAAAAATAAAACAATAGAAAACTGTAAAATGTAATGAAGAACTATGTGTATGAAAATGGAAATGTACAATGTCCAATATGCGAGAAGTTGAATAGTTCCCTAGTATTATTCTTTATTTCATTTTGTTCCATGGTTGTCTTATCAGTTGCGGTATTTATTTACTTGTTTTAATGTATACACATAAAACTTGTCTAAATTTATGTTGATCAAGTCTGATTTTTTTAAGTGATAGAGATGAAATATGCTTTGCATATTATTCTATGCTAAACCAACCAGATGTATGTCGGTTAACAAAAGAGTATTTGTGCAGAGTACCTACCAGAAAAGAAATGTTTTCCAGTAGAAAAAAGAAAATTCCCAGAAAGTAATTTAAAAACATTCTTACAATACAATAGTGTAATTATTAGCTGAAACATTGACTGTATCAAAAGAATACAACAAATGATAAATAATTTCAATGAAATTCTCTAATTTTCTCTAAAACTCTTTCGTATAATTCTGAAATCCATCAATTACGCATAAATGTTTATTTTGGAGAGAATAATTTCACAACCAAATTAAAAATCAGAAATCAGAATTGGATCTTTTTAAAATCTAATACAACGATTACGGATCAGTTCATTTTCAATCTTTGTCTTGTCAAATAGTTTAATGACTATATCACAAACTTAAAATCAGTCACTGTTGGAAACTAGATAGTACAGTTTTGATAAAAAGCCAGTTATTGGTTGAGAACTGTTCATAACTTATCTGCTTAGAATTATTAATTAACTAAGGAGTCACTTCATAATCTTCAAGTAATAAATTATGCTTAGTAAATCCAAATAAACGTTAAAAGATAAATAAAACCTTTTTGATAAAATTAAAATTACAAATCAGGAATTCCGATCTATATTGAAAGATCGCGTCAACAGAAGCGATCATGAATTTTCTACCATTCAATCATTGAATAACTTCAATAAATGCAAAATAAAATGAATAAAAATGTTAAACAATAAGTATATATTTCGGTATTTAAAGTTGTTTGATGAGGTGAGTGATTCGATTCATAGTTGTGAAGGGGATATTAAACTGCTTGTTTATAATCTGTGTTCTTAATTGATTAGCAAAACAACAAGACCAATATGAAGCACACGTGATTTGCCAATAAAGAGTACTTTTAAACTTGGTCTAAATCAGTCTAGAGTGCATTGTTCAGATTTCTTGATTCTAAGCATACTTACTGAAAGAGATAACACGAAATTATTTAATGAAAGAATTACAGTATTTCTTAACAATACTGTTGCTAAATGTACCTTATACACATAACAATTGTATATTTGCAATGTAAGATTACCTAAAAGTCAGAACACTATTTGCTGAAAACCGAAACCGAAACGCCTACTCACAAATGACAGATCATTTTACATATATCTAAGCTCTTTGAGATCTAATATATATATATATATATATATATATATATATATATATATATAAACTAAACGAATGGATTCATAAGTTATGATTAGCCGTAGTAATCCATCAACATAGTTTATCATTTCATAGAAATTAACAGGATAGTAAAGAACTGTACCTAATACTACTGATACAGTAATAAAATAGAGCTCACATCCAAATAACTGATTTTATTATAAATTCATAACACTCTAGTAATAAGTCGTTACTGGCTGAATTCAAAATAATAATAGTTAAATGTGGTGTCGAAGATGGCTTCGGATGAGTAAAGCACTGTATTTAGATTCTAAATAAACCATTGCTTTGATTGTTCGGGATGTTAGATCCCCAGAACTCGCCTGATAAATATCTTTATTTTGGATTTATTTCATGGACCGATCAGTTGACCTTGAGATCGTAGCATCTCATCATTCATTCACTATACTTTAGTTTGATTATTCGATAACTGTATCGACCATAATTTTGTATTTGAATAATTCGATTACAGTATCGATTATCCTATATATATATATATTCATTGCGGGCTGACTGTTGTTGTAGATTACAATTTTTACACTTATCGAGAATTCTGTTTTGCAGTTTCGGATTCAAGGTAGCCTACCTGGAGGCTGGTAATTGTCTCGTTCGCGTTCATTGACTAAGGTGAACTCGTAATAGCTTTAAGCGTACCAAGTGACGAGAGTAACATTGATCCTACATTATGTGGTTGGCGCGCGTACAGTTGCAATTTCATAAAATGAGAACTAGAACCAGTATCCTCGATTTTAATTACTCCTTAAAAATGATGTTAATGTGTCGTGTTGTTGAAGAGGAGAATAAATAAATTTATTTTCAAACCACAATAATATGACCATTGAATAAATGAATGACTCAAAAAGAAAAACTCCTTTATAAGAAAAAATAAAATGAAATAAAAATTATTCACTATAAGATGAAGCAAGCAAAGAAATGATGATGAATTTTGAATGACTAATTCATTTTGTGAAAAAGCCAAAGTAAACATTAAACTAAGTGTGATGTGAGAAAACAATGCATTTCACGCCTGTATCATTTTGTCTATTTCTCTTTTTTTTTTATTTAATCGGGAAAACAAAGAAGCTGAACCTGTTTTTCTTCCATTCACATAATCACATTTTCCTTTTTTCTGTTCCTTTTATCACAGACTTGATATAACCGTTTGGGGGGAAAAATACAACTGCTTAGTCATTGATTGTTTCAGTTACACTAACTACAAGCTGTTTGTGTGTTGTTGTGGTTGTGGTCGTGGTCGTGGTGACATCTCACTGTGAACATCATTAATTGCATTGTAATCTTCAATTTCAGCAAAAAAAAAAGAAAAAAGAAATTGTCTATTTGTCTTTGCCTCATTTTTCACAAACTATTTTTTTTTTGAAAGTTAATAAATGTCTGAAAAGTATATAAATTAGTTTGTCCGGGTTTTATTTTTTCTTGTTAATTTTAACCAATTTATTATTATTGATTAGAAATAGTTAAACAAAATGAATTGATTATTAGCTGTTCAATTACAGTTGGTTAAACCTGTAATGAATAATGCATGAAATATTTCTTGACTATGCACAAGTTAATTTGTTCTTAGATAATGAATAAATCTTTCACGTCATAGCACTTCATGCTTATCAGTAAACAAAAAAGGAGTAATAGATTAGCCGAGAAAACACTTGGAAACATTGTATGATCGTCAGTGGAATTCTTCATTTATTCACTGCACAATTTCAAAATAACACGTAAAGTTTTCATCAGAAAGTATTTCCCAAATTAATATGATGATGATAAGGTATAAATCTATTTGTTCTCAGTGACCCATAAGTACGTGTATAAAAGTAATTACACTGAAATTTTAAGAAGAAATATGACACAAATATATCAGCAACCAGGAAGTCTAATTGTGAACCCTCCAAAAAGTTCATGTAACGACTCTTGAAATAATTTTCTACGAAAGGTTTGTTGAAATGAAATGTAAAATGAATAAGTTTAATGTAGTATACATTATAAGTAACCATTACTAGGGTCTTACTTATGCCTTTTACGCCAAATGGAGCATACACCACCGACTGGCTTTATCCAACCTACTCTGTCCTGGGCCTTCCTTTCCAGTTCTGACCAACTTTTTGTTCATTCTTCTCATGTCTGCTTTCGATCCTTAGCGCGATGTGCTTTTTAGTGTTCCTCTTTTCCTTTGACCTTGAGGATTCAAAGTAAGTGTTTGTCTTGTGACGCAGCTGAGTGCTTGCCTCATTGTGTGTCTCATCCACCTCCAACGTTTTTTTCTGATTTCTTCCTTTTGGACGTACTAAACTATGAGTCGTCTTTATAGAAACTGAATTCTCGCATAAACCTATATTGAGGCAATCTACTCAGAATTATCCTACAGAATTAGAGTTTGATCGGTTAAAAAATACTTACAATCCCTTACTGATTGATACTGTTATCGTATTAAACGTCAATACATTGATTCAATGAGTTTGAAATTAAGAATATAGACAACAATTGTCTATCTACATTATTATTTATTCTTTTATAATTTATTATCAAACACAGAATCAAATGACTTCAGCATTTAGTGTAGATTTAAATCAAACAATTCACATTCTGATTGATATGACATCAGATAGTTTTTCTTTTTATAATCTGTCTACTAATCATTTTATTATATAATAATAATCATAAAGTTTCCCCTTTTGATTAATAAATTATTGACATATGTAAATGAGATACTTTTTTTTTCTTAGAATAGTATTCAGTCCTGTTATTCAATTGATTGGTTAAATCTTTCGTTATTACTATCTGGTATTTATAAATAAATAAATTATTTATTGATTATTTTTTAATTATATTATTCTTATTCGGTGTAGACAATAAAAACGTTTTGTTATTTAGATGAGCAGACGAAAGTTATCGTAGTAAATTATCAAAGATATTACTTAAGTTAAACAGTAGTAGTGATTGAAGTGAAAAAAGAAGGAAATAATATACGCATACTGATTACAAGTAATAACTATTTGTCATTAAACTACTATTCTTAGTACAATACTGTTAAAGAGTGAAAATCTCTGTCTTGAAATATGCAAATAGTTTCTTCTAAAGATGTTTCCAAAAACTTATATAAACTAGATAACTTCGATTCTCAGAACTAGTACAGATCTTCGAAAATTTTGTCGTTTTTTTCGAAAGTACCTAATACTGTGAACCACAAAATTTAAAAACATCAACAAAATCAGTTTACTTAAATTATATAAATGACATTGAAGATT